CTACGTAGCACCTTAAGGCTCGGACGGGACAGAGCAAAGCTAGGGCTGGGTCTGCCTCCTCCGAGGGCAGCGCTTGAAGGCTCACCACCTGATCCCTGAAGGGAGTAGCGGGAACCTTGGGCATATAGCCGGGCCGGGCCTCAGGGTTACCTGGGAGTCAGCCGGCCCGAACTCTAGGCACCAATCGTTGACCGAAAATGCGTGCAGGTCCCCTACCCTCTTGATGGAGGCCAATGCCAGCAGGAGCAAAGTTTTCATCGAGAGAAATTTCAGCTCGACCATCTGCAAAGGCTCAAATGGGCCCTGCTGTAGTGCTGTGAGCACTAGAGTCAGGTCCCAAGAGGGTATAGAGGGGGGCCGTGGAGGAGTTAGCCTTCTCGCCCCCATAAGGAACCAGATGATCAGGTCATGCTTCCCCAGCGACTTCCCTTCTACGGGGTCGTGGTTAGCAGTGGTTAGCACTCCCTGACCTTGCACAGTGTCTGTGCAAGAAGGCTCACTGGGGGAAATGCATATTTGCGAAGGCCCCGCGGCCAGCTGTGTGCCAGTAGGTCCGTGCCGAGTGTTCCCTTGGTCAGGGAGTAGAACAACTGGCAGTGAGAGGTTTCTGGAGAGGCAAACAGGTCTAGCTGAGCGGCTCCGAAACGTCTCCAAATCAGCTGGACCGTCTGGGGATGGAGTCGCCATTCTCCCGGGAGCGCAGCTCGAGACAGCTCGTCGGCTGCCCAGTTGAGCAGCCCAGGAATGTGAACAGCACGAAGCGACCTCAGATGCTTCTGACTCCAAAAGAGGAGGTGGCGGGCGAGTTGCGACATGCGACGGGAGCGCAGACCACCTTGTCGGTTGATGAATGCAATGGTCGCAGTGTTGTCCGTGCTGACTAGTACATGCTTGCCTCGTAAGCGTCCTTTGAGACGGATCAAGGCACGGTGCACTGCCAGCAACTCAAGGCAGTTGATGTGCCAGTGCAGTTGGGGCCCCGTCCAAACCCCTGACACTGCAAGCCCGTTGTACGTGGCCCCCCAGCCGGTGGTTTAGGCATCCGTGTGAACCACAGCATGCCTGGAGACCTGTGGTTATAATCGCATGCCAATGTGCATTGGCTCGTTTAGTTTACACTCGAAGTAGATTGGTCTCTCTAAGCGAGATGCCAATTCGTCGGTCATCCGATGTGACGTCGGGAGTGACCGACTGAAAGGGAACTATAATATTCCCAGAGATGCTGGATAATGTCTCACCTATGACCTGCTTCCTCTTGATGGAGGCCTCTGTGGCGAGAGCTCGATGAACGCTCATGATTCTCTCCTGCTGCTGCAGCTCTTTATCCAGCTCACTGAAATCTATCTGCTCTGCATCCATGGACTCTGCCATAGACCTCACACTAAAATGCCACAACAGAAGACTCAACATCGAAGTACATCATCCATTTACATCTGTTTAGGTCTTATTTTCCCACCATACCTCGACTTAGACAGTAGGCTTTTTATCTTTGCTATGGTGCGAGAACGAGTCTCCTTCTCTTCCGGACTCAGTTCTTCATCTGACTCCACATCCATGAGTCGCTCTGGGATGGACACCTTCTGTGGTGTAGACAGCTGAAGACAGAGGAATCCCACAATACACTGAGTATATCTCAAATAATACAAACCAGAGATCTGCAACTTAATTGTTATAATTAACTATACCTTAAAAGCCAGCTGTATCATATGTGATTTTATTATTTAAATTGATAAGACCTCTAAGTTCTTACGTAATCAAAACTTTGCTGAAAATACTGTTATACATAATCTACTACATACCTTTGCTCATCTGATTGATAGTTTGTATTTTTGAGCAACTGATTCAGGTCGTGGTACACGTTTTTGTGGTGAACTCTACTGATTTTTATAAAGTAAATGTAAGTTTTATATTTATAATATTTCAAGATGAACACTTACTGGACAGAAACAATTTAGCTTTATTTAAATATCCACATTTTTATAATTATTTGTTAAAATGTTAAAAAGTTAAGTATCAAATACTTTTGAGGAACATTTATTTGTACATCTTTCAATCATCATTATAGAGCATTATGTTTTGCCCCCTACAATAAAAACTACAGAGCTTTGATCATAACATTTAAATATCATCTTACTAAGATATATAATTGGGAGATATAGAGTTACTGATATTTACATGCATTTCTAGTCTGCTATGCTGTTATAGATTTACATTATAAGCCATGAGAATTTCTTCTTACATGTTAGTCACAAATATCAGCAACTGCGCCAAATTTCATATTTTTGCTCAGTTTGGGCCTCTGAGTAAAGCTCCATATTGTCCTATATAACACTATATGGGCCATGAAAGCCGCATGTATCAAATATGATACTTGCGCAAACTTTTTTCATATTTTGTCTAAAGATTCAATGAACTTTAATATAAAAAATTTAATTAAAAATCTTTTTTATATATATATATATATTATTTCATACATCAGGCTTTACAGGGTTACAACCCAACTAGGAAGGATTGAATCAGGTGATTTTGATTTGTCAGCAAATGTCACTAAAATTTGACTATACCTCTCGAGTAAGATCGAACCCAAAGTCCACAGGCTCCAGCTCCAGCTCTAGCTCCTGTGCATTCATTGGCCAGGCCTCAACAGTCAGCCATTCATCTGATCCCAGCCACTGTGATTCGGCAGGTAAGGCCTGTTCTGGTTGCTGCAAATCAATTTTTTCCCATCCCAACTAGTGCGAAGACAACAATATACAGCTTTTATGCAACACACACTCCAATACCTCTGGAAATGAGCCTTGATCCTGTATATAAAACCTCATATGGGTCAGACACACAATATCTTTGTCAAATCACAAAGATGAATAAAGGAGCTGATATCAATTGTGAACTTACAAATTGGTGGCAGATCAACTGGTCCAAACAAGCTATTTGGCATATCTTTAGTTAACAGCTTGTGGAAAATCAAACGATGGTAATAAAGTCTTTCTGGCAGTCGTTTTTATGCGATTGTAGTTTCTCCTGCACTTAAAGGAATAGTTCACCCCCCCAAAAAATGAAAATTTGCTGCAAATTTACTCATCCAAAGCCCCACTCATCACCAATGGATCCTTTGCAGTGAATGGGTGCCGTCAGAATGAGAGTCCATAAGTGATGTAATAGATGTAAAAGATGTAACAGAAACATACTCATCTACATCTTGGATGGCCTGAGGGTGAGTACATTTTCAGCAAATTTTCTCTTTTTGGATAAACTACTTCTTTAAATTTAAGCCTGGTTTTATTGACAAATTGGTGAAGAGGCAGAAAAAGATAAGGGGGAAAAAAGACAATTACATACAAGCATTAGGCAATTGTGTCACTATTACAAATCACACCCATCACCAAATTACAACATGCTGTAGAATTTTGTAGTTGAACACATCTAACCATGCATAACAGCTTACAATCAATTAAACAACCATGCAAAACCATCCATTCATTTACCCACTCATAGGCATGAATTTAGAGGATACACTCTATAACTCAGTTGTCAGAGATACATCTACGAGTACAGTCACACTGCAAAGAATAAAAAGTATTTAAAGAACTCTAATTTTATTTGTGCCTTTAGTGCAAACCTCAACATTAGAAAATGAAGAAGAGGTGACTCGAGTTCAGACATTGATGTATTGATGTACACAACAATATCATATTTGTCTTACAGCTAATCTGCTATCAGTTTTGTTGTTATTTAATTATGGTTCTTGTTGTCACGTTCATATAACAACATACAACATCACTGCCTACTGACAAACAGGTTAACAGTGATGAAGGTGCTGGTGTGGTTAAAGACCCCATGAAATGCCTTGACGAGTGCAGTTTTTTTGTCCTGCATTGATGTACTACTCTTCCTAAATTTCAGGTCAGTAAAAAAGTTTTTGTAAGAAATTAATACTTTTATTCAGCAAGGACACATTCAATTGATCAAAAGTGACAGTAAAGACATTTATAATGTTACAAACAAGTAATAGTTTTTACTGTATTTTGATCAAATAAATGCAGCCTTTGTGAGCATTAGAATTAATTAATAATTCTGCATATAAATTAAATCTTGCCATAACTTTAGAATGGAAGTGTATTTCCATTACAACGGGAAGCTGGGGCATATTAAAGAGCTCATCCCTTGTGAATTGATTTTCTTCTTGCTATTGCTAGTCAGGTGGTACAGTACAGTGGTACAGTGGCTTGAGGAACATTCTCACTCTATAAAGAAATTTTTTTTTTGGATAAAAAATCAGTCATTAATATTTTTGGTCTGTTTTCCAGAAGTCTATAAATTGTACATTTGGGCTTAAAGTCAAATTTAAGAGCACACCAGCATATAGATGGCCTTGAAGCTAATAGACAAACAATTTTAATCCATGGGGTCTTTTTGCCAAAATATCTACAGAGATACAAAGGCATTCATGTGTGGGATTTTAACGGTTAAGAGGAAAGTTTGTATCAAATGATAACGATGTCAAGTTTGTCCGTTTGAAACTATGGTTAGTAAAATGCTACACCCCTCTCATTGGCAGCTCTTAGAGAAACAACAATAAAACATCACCGTGATTTATAGAGAAGTGAGTTTCAATTTTCACTGAGTGAGCCAAACTGGAATTGGTGTTAGTAGACTGAATAGATATTTTCCTTAATATAACTCAAACTAAACTGTTTGTAATGTGGTTTTTAACTGCTGTAATGTGAAAACCATTTGCCATTTCTTTCTCGTCCTCTTTTTTAGACATACAGCTGATAGCAGTTATAACTATCTGATAAAGAATGTTCATAATTTACATCTGAGTGGTGTTAATTGTCCCATGATTCAAAACAATGGGGCAATGGGCAGCGTGATTCTCAGAAAATGATGTGAGCTGAGTATTGCATGGGTTTCCAATTGAATTAAGTGCTTGATTGGAAATGTGTTTACCAAATGCAATCCTCAACATTGATGTAATCAGTCATTAACTGAGAAGTCAGTGAAAGACTTTAGAGCAAGTGAGCAACAGAAACACCTTTGAGTGCAGCATAATAAAAAAACAAAAGAAAAAGACAAAGGCGATTTTGAGCAAAGAAAACCCAAATATCAGGCAGCTCCTGCTGATTACTCTGATTGCAGTAGATTGAAAGGTGGCTAAGCATTTGATTGGGCCAAACACTCTTTTTGAGCCATGACAGCAATAATGCTTGCTAATCAAGACACAATGGTCCTACTCAAATGGTTATTTCCTACCATTAGCAATTAGCAAACAAAGCAACTGCCTAAATGAGTGCAAGCTCTCATGGCCACATTATATGGGCAATAGAGTGCATTCCAAAGTAAAAATCACATTCATTTTCTCCATAGAGGAATTGATTTTTAACAATAACCTATAAACTGTTAAAGATAGACCTACTGTGAGCTACGAGGTTTTAAATCAATGGTATATGCTTTTGTTGAAGCCATTAATTTCAAGTTATTTCAACATATTTTTTTAAGCAATCCTGTTTAACAGAATTTCGGGTGAAAAACGATGATTCTGCAAAGAAATCACATTCAGAAAATTGTGAGAATCAAATTGTGTCAAAAGAAAAAATATATATAGATATATATGTGTGTGTGTGTGTGTGTGTGTGTGTCCGAAACGTCTGCAACACTTTTTTGATTCAAATCAAAGTTTGTAATGCTGTAATTCACCTTAAAGCTGGTTGGTTTGGTTCATGTCATATAACATGGCTGAACTGTAGAAATATGGGAATCCCTATGGGAAAAATGAATGGTTCTACTTCTGGAACCAAAGCCCCTAAAAACAAAGTGGATGGGTACTGTTGCACTCCATAGTTTCATCTGAAATCATTCTCAGAGTGTTTGAGCTGAAGCAGGATTTTCTGACACTGATGTTCAGGTTAGAATGAAGAGGCACTTCACTGATTTATTCTTCTATAAGAGATGATGATTAAGAATGATTGCACACAGAAATACCTTCATACCCAGTTAATTACCAACAAGAATTAATTTGTTGTTAATACGAGGCAGCAGGGTCAATAATTCCCACCATATTATGTTCATACAAAATATAGCTTTACAAATTATTTCAGAAAATATATTTAGATTATAATAAATAATTTAGTGAATTAACATTTGAGAAAACAAGCATAAAAAAGGTTTAAAATCCATTGTGAGAGATCAGCAAGGCAGTCAGGGATAATGTTATCCTTTTTTCTTCACATTCAAATATATTCACAAGTCTGTGCAGGAGAAGCCAGGAGTCCACTGCAGGACTGTAACCACTCCATGCGTCTGTCCACATTCTGGCCAATCCCTAAATACACCCCCAGCACGGCCCTGTCCCACCCATGGCTTGTTAATGTAAAGCTGAGCTTTGTTCATGGGGCAAAAAGTGTGTTAGCATGTTAGCTTTGTGCTTTGTGGCCTTATCGGGGAGGGCCATAGCGAAGGTCCCTGTGTTTATTGGGGAGGGAGTAACGTACTGATCCTGGGTCAGAGCTGGTCGGTCGAGTGGAGGCGCGGGAGCTCACAAGCTGTCGCTCACCCTGACTCAAGTTACGTTTGCGATCACGCACTAGAGCTCTCTGGTGCCTTTTCATTCTCTCCAGCTGCTCCTCCACACTCATCCTCCCTCTCTGCGGCGGGTGATCAGGCTGAGACTCTCCCAAACACAGCCGCTCCAAGGCACCCTTTGGTCTCTCCTACATAGCACAGGAAAAAAATTCAGCATTTTACATGTAGAAGCTTATTCTAGATTTTTATTTTTATTTATTTTTTATTTCCACAATGCACGAGACAACTGTTACAATGTTCTATCCATCCATCCATCCATCCATCCATCCATCCATCTATCCATCCATCCATAATGAATTAATATAATATGAAATAAATGCTTAATAAAATAATACAAATACAAATTGCTTATGTTTTTAATGAATGAATATAATATAAAATCATAAATATTACAGAAAATGACAATTCGTATATATATATATATTCTACATTATTAAATTACATTTTGCATTAAATATAATAAATTATAAATATATTCAAAATGAATAAATAATTAAATGAAGTATCAGTTCTACAGTAATCAGGTGCTCACTGTTGTCGATAACGCTGAATCTCCTCTCCTTAGTGAATAGGAAGTCACACCGTACTGGTTTACTCTGGAAGAGCAGCCTGACAGGCCTAAGTGATCACAAAAATGGTTCATTTTTTCAGGTATACTGGTATTACAACTTGTTAAATGGCATTTTACCCCTATAAGCATCATATGTTTTAAAGATAACCTGAATGATCAAAAGCAGTAATATTTCACCTCTTCTTTGAAGAGTCAAGTAGCCTGGGTCCACTTGATCTGTTCCTGATCCAGGAAGCTCTGGTTCACTCAGGTAGGACCGCAGTTCCACCTAAAGCCCAAACATTTGATTTCATCCTTATTGCAAAGCAATCACAATGCATATTACTGTCACATGGATGGTGATAAAGTATAAGTTAATTATTTAAAAACGTTTTCCAAAGAAAATCCATTATTCAAAAACTACATTTTATTCTTTTTTGTACATGTGAAGTTTAGTAAGACGAATTACTTGAATTAAGCGTTTTTTTTATTATTACTTATATACTATTATATTTATTTATTCATTCATATTTTGAATTACTTTATATTTTCAATTTTCATTTTCATTTTAGTTTAGGTTTTAGTAATTCAGTTATGTGCTTCTGTCATTTTTTTTTCCCAGTTTTTTAGTAATTTTATTTCAGTTCGTTTCTATTTGTAAGTTTTTCATCTATATATACTTATAAAATTTAATTTTAATAGTTTTAGTTAACAATAACAACACTGATGACAATAAGCTTTACAATAACAATGACCTTCACGAGTGAGTTTATTACCCTGCAGTCTCCATTCACATAGCTGCTTTCTCTGTCACGTTTCCTCTCATCAGATTGTCGTTTGAGGCCACGGACAGAAGTGTGTCTGATGACCGTTGTTTCTTTAGGTAAGGGCGGGACAACAGGGGGTGTGTCTTCATCATAGAGGAGGGGCAAAGGTGGTCTGGGTGGAGCATCATCCTCTCCCTAAAAACCAAAATTACACACTTCAGTAAACCATTAAGTATTTAATTAGTTGTCTTTAGCAAGGCTCTTTTGTCTAAAGTAACTTACAATACAATCATTTTAGGAATAGCACCAGTCAAGTAACATATACCCATTTTGGCATAGAATAAGGATGCTGAAAAACCTCATTGTCCAAGGGCAGTGATAACGGACTGGAGGTAAGACTGCGTCGGGGTGACCACACCTCGACTGCGGACGGGGTCATGCACCGAGAAGGCACTGTCGACTCTATCACTGAAGGCACAAGTTTTCTCTCTGGACACAAAAGCAAGAGTTACAAGAGAAGCTCTGAAGTAGGTTTATTAACCCTATCTAACTAGTCCATTCTTACCTGGGTTCTTCACTGAGTCTATGGTGATTTTGAAGGTTTCTTTGGATGAGCTGAGTCCAGTCATCACGTCCTCTATCCTCCAGAGCTCCCTCCTCAACTGATTTTTCTCCTGAGAACAAAAACACACCTTTTCAAAAGTCTTCAAATCGTATTTTTATTCTAGCCAGGATTATTATTACTAAAACTAAAACCATAAAAAACATTTTCATTACTTGAAATAAAATAAAGGCCTGTTCACACCAAAGATGATAACTATAACGATAAAGATATATATATATATTTTTTTTTTTGCTTTTCCCAATGCTTTATTTTAACATAACAAAACAATAAAACAGACAGAACAATGCCCACTGATCAATTCCACAAGTGCATACCAACATAAACCAAGCTTTAAAAAAAGAAAAATAAATAATCAAGGTTAATGTTGACCTGCCAAGGTTTTGCAAAAAGGTAAATGAAATCCTAGGACCTATAAACTTAGATAAAGATATAGTTTTAAAAATCTATTTAAATGTAAAAGAATAGTGGAGTTCACACCACAACTATAACACTAGTGGCACTTTAAAAAAAAAAAAAAAAGCATTGACAGCCCATTGGAATCCACTATGACATAACTGCAGCGCACGTTTATGATAAACAATGTTAGCGTGCGTTGGTGTGGATGTTGATAACGTTATCGTTCTTGGTGTGAACAGGCCATACACATTAAATGAAATAAAATATAAAAAATATTTATTTTATTTCAGCTAGTTGCCAAGGCAAAATTTCTCATTTTTATGTACTTTAAGCTTAAGTACTAAAATAAACTGAGCAAAATAAACTAAAACTAACCAAAACCTAAAAAAAATATTAAAAAAATAGTGCTGGGCAACGATTAATCGCATCCAAAATAAAAGTTCTTGTTTACATAATATATGTGTGTGTACTGTGTATATTTATCTTGTATATATAAATACACACACATACAGTATATATATTTATATTCATATAATTTATATTATACATAAATATATTTAATATTTAAACAATATATTTTTCTTAAATATATACATGCATGTTGTGTATTTATATATACATAATAAATATACACAGTACACACTATTTAAACAAAAACTTTTATGCTGGATGCGATTAATCGCAATTAATCATTGCCCAGCACTAAAAAACGAAACAAAACAAAAAAACAAAGAAACAAAACAAATAAAACACACAAAACAAAACAAAACAAAAAACTTCAAAACTACAGAAGAGAAGAAATAAAATAAAATAAATTTTGAAATAAAAGCTAATTTAAAATATGAACAAAACATATAATAGTATTTCAATGATACTAAAAATAACACGGATTCTAGCTAAAGGTGACTGCAAATCAAAATGAATACAAATAATAATAAAGCAGCTGATCAAAAAGATGAGAGAAAAACATGATAGCAAACTATAAAAAAGTATTAAGAAATGGAGAGAAAAAAAAAGACCTGAGGTGAAGTGCAGAGATTCATCTGAGTCTGCAGGATGTCCTTCAGCTGTTCCACTGACTGCTCCAACCTGCTGTAGTCCTCCCACGCTCTCTCCATCTCCTGAACAATACAAATATATGAACAAAACCTACTTATTATACATTACATTAAATATTATATAATATTACCTGTGACCCTACATATGACAAGTGGTTTGGAGATGGAGTGGTTATATTATTATAATGTTAAATTACAGAACAAAACTACACACTGAAATTGGTTGTTCGAAAAACACATTATTTTTCACATATTTTACATTATTGCAACACCTCTCTCCCCAGTCTGGCATGAACGGCTCGAATAGTTCCTGTATCAAATGAAGGCCCGCCTTCTGAAATACG